ATTTAATAAGAAGAACTACATGAAACATTTTAAAGACTTCTCAATAATAAAGCTCTAGGAAAATTGCAAATCAGCTATGAAATGCTAAAAAAATTGAATAAAAAAAAAAAAGAATATCTTAGAAAAATGCTTAACTGCTTTCTAAGGTGAGAAATTACTTCAATAGAATAGAAGCAAAGCTATATATATCCCATAGCAAAGCCAAAACCATGAGGATGTGAACTTATTAACACTAGACTAATAGTGTTACTAGAGATCACACAAAAATACTTCACCAAGATCCTCATAAACAAATTGGGAAATATCTGTAAGATCAATAATATCCTGAAAGGATCTAATTATATAGAATTTCAGAAGAAAGTATAGTAAAATAGATTCAAATTCTTAATAATATTTGTGAGAAAGCAAGAGAAAATAAAAAGAAGTTATTAATACTATTCCAAAATATAACAAAAGCATATAATACTACTGTATTAGGCTGAATATATTAATTAAGGCAATAAATAGAATCAAGATACCAGAAGGCTTTATTTAAATTATAATAAGTCTATTTCGAAATTAAGAATTTAGAATTATATTTAAAAAAGATATAATTGAGATAATCATAGCAGGAGATGAAATTGATCAAGAAGAAACCATCTTACCACTAATGTAAAGGATATTCCATAATCCTTTATTGTGCAAAATTCAAAATAATGAAATAAAAGGCTATAAAATATCTGTGGTATGGGATTCAGAGTTAAAGGAAAACACTAGAAGAAAGCTAGAGTCAAGGCATGCAGCTATTGTATTTATAAATAATACAACATGGATAGCAAGATCCAAAGAGGATATAGAAAGGATTTTGAAGAAGCAAGAATCTTTTATAGGACAAATGACTCACAGATTAATAGTAGCAAATCAATATTAATTACTATTAATAATCCTAATCAATTTCCAGAAGAGGTTTAAGCAGAAATTGATAGAGAAGTAGTTAAAGAATTGGATAAAACTGAACAGACAAAATTCCTGGAGATATGAACAGGTAACCAAAAATCTGCTATCGAGCTCAAAGAATGAATGTTTAAAGAAATCAATATAATTATTAAGTTCATAAAAAGCAAAAGATTAACTGACAAGCAAGCACTTTATATTCTAAACAGAGTTCTAATATCTAGAATCGAATTCAGAATGTAGCATAGTATATTATTCTGGCGAATATGTAATACTCTGACAATAGTATATAGAAAGCTATTCAAAAATAAGGCTATACTATGTCAATTCATATCTAATAGTATAATATACCATCCCAGAATTTACAATATAAAGAGTATTTGGATGTTGTAAAAAGAAAGTTAGATAAAAGAATTGTACAATAGATTAAATGATTTGGGACCAGCTGAAATCGCAACAATTATCAGGTTAAAACAATTACAGATTAAGTATTGAAAACCACTTAATCTACTTATATGTAACTCACTAAACCATCTTTTGGAAAGGAGCAACTTCACATTACAAGTATTGAAGCTGATCAAAGATATAGAAGTAATCTTTCATAGTTAGAAGTGAAATGATATCTTTAATTGAAGTATCAGAAATAGTTCAATCAAAGATCATCTGATAACAAATGAATACAGTAAAGCCATTTCATTACTCAAACATAATAAGTTGATATATATGAATCAGCTTATCAACTATGAAACTAGAAATGTATGGAACTGGTGAATGCTTCAACTCTTATAAAAGACAAGTAAGCAATCTATTCCAAAATAGTACTTATCAACAACAAAAGAAATGCAAGAAAACAAGCTAATATAACTTATAAGGTCTTGAAAAAAAGATTGATTAAAGTGGAGTCCAGAATATTCAGTACTCAATCTCAACCTTGATAAAAGACAAAAACTTTGCATAGTAACCAAGAACAATAATTAGTAGTGACAACTTGTTTGGGAAAAGTTGATTCTAGGTAACAATAAAAGATATATTAAGATATATTATTTTTAATATGATAGTTCTAAGAAAAATTTAGGGTTAAACCTAATACAATATTAGGGCTACCCAGAAGAAATCAAGGTTGAAAACTGATGTATAGTAGAATTATGCATAGAACAAATATACTGTATATAGTTTTTTATCTTAATACTAGAAAATCTACAAGGAAAGCTCAACTTTTAGAAATCCCTTGTTTCAAGATAGCCTTAGAGAGAACAATAAGTAAAACAATTAATATAAACTTAATAACTACACAATATAATAAAAAGCAATTGGAAGAAGTAGAGATAGAGAACTGAAAAGAGAAGCTTAGTAAAGAAAATATTAAAGAAGGTATATATCAAATCAATCTAATTGAAATATTTAGGTATAACAAGAGAAATAATAACAATAATATTATAATCTTTTACTCTAGTGAATCCTTTGTTGATCACAGAAATGCAAACATGAAAGTAAGTGTGGCATGGATACAAATTGAAAAAACAGAAAGGAAAAACAAGTTTCAAGCAAGAGTAGCTGATTGACCTTCATTTACAAGAGCAGAAATAGTAGTAATAATAACTATACTGCTAGTAGTATCAGTTAATAGCAAGGTTAAGATCCATACGGATAGTCAAGCTTGTATCTCCAAATAAAAAACTATAAAAAAGAGAAATATCAAAAAAATCCACAAAAGATGACCAAAGAAACAAAATTTGTCCTTGGTAATACAAATGTTGAGCCTGGTAAAGAAAAAAAAATTAGATTTAAATTTTATCAAGGTCCAAATACACTCCAATATTCAATACAATGAGAAAGCAAACATTCTAGTCAAAGAAGTATTAAAGTTTTCGACAATAGAATAACAAGATCTGGACTTACCTAAGATTATTATCAAAATAAAATGACAAAATATAGTACTGGATGCTCCAATAAGGCAATTTGTTAAAAAAACTAATGTCAAAATAATAATACACCAATGGACAACCCAAAATAGAATAGACAAAAAATAGGGTCATTAAATCCAAGATCAATACAGGTATATATGTGATCTAGTTTGGGAACAAATAAATAATGAGTATATATGGAATACCTCTTTCAAAGGATTACAAAGAAAAAATTTTTTGTTAAAATGATCAGTGATGAGTTACTTATATTAACAAAGCTAGCAACAATAAGACCAGACTTATACAAGTAAAAAAATATCACACATGTAAATAGTAAAAAGAGATGATAGAACACTTGTTAAAATGTCCAACATATAAAACTCAGTGGCAAGAAGCCTGGCAAAGGGTATGAAAAATATAATATAAAGTTTTAACAAATTCCTGGCAAATAGGAAAAAAAAGTCAGAAGAAAAAGAGATAAGTTTGATAGTTAATAACAGAATAAAAAAAGAAGAAATAAATAAGAAAATAGCTTGACTAATAGAAAGAATATCAAATACTGGATAGGATATACTTAACTTTTGCATGAAACTGATTGAAAAGGATTTAATGGATGAGACAGCAGACTTGAAGTGCCATAAAAAAAGAATCAGTAAAGAAGCAAAAAAGGAAATAATAAAGATGCAGAAGAAAATACATAATTACTTTAGAAAAAAAATTTGGAATATTAGATATAAGATAGTAATATAGTGAGAATAAATGTTAGGAATCAATAGAAGTGACAAAATCAAAAGATTGACACATCTACAGAATCAAAAAAACAGGACCAAGATATTAGGAAATTGATCATATCAAGTAATATTAAGGAAAGAAAAATTAGAAAACACAATACTTAAACAGGCCTGTGAGATGGGATAAAGTATACAATAGAATGAAATAGTTGATTTTAATCTCTGTCAGAACTCAAAAGAGAGATCTGTAGTAATAATTTGCAGACAATAATATTAGAAGTTAGAAGAATATTTATCTAAACTTCTAATGAAATGATAAATTACTTCTGAAGTTGCACTTAGAAAGGTAAAACAACCAAGATGCGTGAATTAGTTAAAGAATTAGCTTTAATGTTTCATGTTATATGTATAGCTTACAAATATTTAATAAAGCATAAGTAACTAGCCTGATAGAGGACAAAAAAAAAAAAATAAAATAAGTAACTCTATATTTATTTATATTAGACAAATAACTTATAATAAATCCAAATTTTTATATAATCTAGTATAAATCAAATTATATTATTTTAATATAATATCTTTGAATAGATATATTTAATTAAAGAAATTTTATTAATGAATATTTTCTATTATTCAAAAAACTATATTATTCAATAAAGTTTTATAATAATAAAAAGATTTAATTGTAAATAAAAATTATTGTTGATTATAATAACTTTTAACAATTTTTGAGAAATATATTTTCAATTACAATCAAAAGATTGAAACTTAATATAGATTAGACTATTTAATTTTATTGAATTTTGTTTAATTAAAATATTAAAAGAAAAAAATTTTAACTTAAATAAATAGTAACTTTTTTATCACTTGAAAACTTGCTGCTCGTATTTTATTGATTTTATGAAACTTGATATATAGGTTAATTCAATTAAAAAAGTAAAACAAAAACAAGATACAGTATCAATCAACTTTTTTTATTATCAATGATATTATTAGAGTACTTGTTGTAATTAGTAAAAACTTGTTTATATTATACTACTAATATGTTTCATTAAATAAAAAAATTTTTTTTTGATTTACAGTATATTTTTAGCAATGAAATAAACGTATGATTTTAACATTAGTATTGATGCCGATCATTCATTTAAAACATTAGTTTATCTATCTTCAAATTTTCAAACACGGATTAAAAATTATACGAGACGAAGAAAAAATAGACGATCATATCATGTCAGAAAGTACGCAAATAGCAAATTCCGAACACAATGACACCGGTTCCTCTTCACGAAGAAAGAAGGCTACGAGAGCGTGTTTTCATTGTCAAAAGGCTCATTTGACATGCGACGATTGTAAGCTATTACTTTTCGAATATCATACGCAGTTCAAATTTGGAATCAGCTTTCAATAATATTCTACGTTTCCTTATCAATAGCTAGACCTTGTCAGCGATGCATTAAGAGAGATCTGGCAGCTTCGTGTACTGACGGTATTCGTAAAAGGGCAAAATACTTGCAAGATTCGAATTATGATGGTGCGCGAATAATAATTCACTTTCCGCAAAAATTTGAGTTGATTTTATATCAATTTTTCTATGATTAAAAAGTATCTAGTAGAAAACCAATGTTTATCGATTAAATTACGCGGGAATTTTTGACAGAATTCACTTTACTAACATATTTTCCAAATTAACCAATCACAATTTTATTACATTGACCTGTATCGACGACCTTTTTCAAATATAACACCTTTCATGCTTAATAACCGGTGATTTCATTGATGTTGTACGTGAATGATTACTGATAGATCTTTTTTTTAATTATACCTAACATTTAATAATTCATTGATTTTTTAGCCTGATAAAAATTGGAATTCTTCTAACCGTAACATTCACAAACTATATAATAGTTGCGCCGCCAACAAATCAAACGGTTTTTATGAATAATGGATTTTCGTCAGCTCCTAGTGAGTATCTCAACATATTATTTCATGCATAGAATGGGCCAGACAGATATGTTAGCTTAGGGCAATTCGATTGATTGATTAGTGGACATGTGCCCACTAGATACTACTTATATCCAATTTCTAGTGTACATAGGAATCACATACGCCTTGCGGTGAGGGTACATTGTGATTGTGACTTGGGCCATTAATCTTTTTAAATTATTCTCAAATTATTCGATTTTCAATAGATAATATTGTGGATTCCAGTGCATTGTTTGGGCCTGGAGGGTACCCTCCCGCAACGGGCAGTTATGGTTTTGGTTCAGAGGCTGTGAATCTTGAATATTCAATCCTAAGCAATATGTTATCCTCGGCTTCTACAGAGTCATTAGGTCAACACTCGGGTTTTGCGGATATTGGAATGATCGATCAAAGCTGGCAGCAACAACCTTTATCACGCACTAGTCCTGTCATCGTGACGCCCGGTGTCAATGGTGATAACACCAATCAACGAAGAGAGATTTCAGGAAAAAGAAAATTACATTCGATTACTCCTGAAAACGTTTATGCGAACGTAAAAAAACCATTCTCATACAAAGAAGGATTTCACTATTTAGTAAACTGGGTTAGAGAAAGGTAAGCAATAAGTTTATGTCGTTATTTCAAAAATAATTTCCAGGTTTTACTCTTTTGTTAATAAAACTTTTTATGCACATCAAATATAATTAGAATGGACAAGGAGCATATTGAACGAATCGTAAGAGCACTAGCCACATTTCGCCCGTCTTTTATTGCACTAATAATGAATTTGACGGAAGAGGATTTGATTTTCATGGAGAAATGCTTCCAGAGAACAATATTAGTAAATAGAATATTCTATCTTTTAGTAATAATGAAATTTATGCCACTTCCTAACTTGTATATATTCTGATTTTATGACGTAAAGGAATTTGAGAAATTAATAAGCTTTTCGGGAACTCCGACTGTTGTTTGGCGTCGAACTGGTGAGATTGCCTTAGTGGGTAAAGAATTCTCATTATTAACACAATGGAACAAAGATCAGCTACTTGGAAAGACTACATATATATATGAGGTGTGGATACGTCACTTTTCCTAAAATTTCTGTTTCATTTTTACTAAAATTTCTGTCATTCTCCGGCAAGGTGATGGATAACCAATCCGCGGTAGAATATTGGGAAAAATTCGCTGCACATGCTTTCGATAATTCGAGACAATCAGTGATGACAACTTGTATCTTAATGAGACCCAGTGGGATTCCAGTACCTTGTACCTTCTGTTTCACCATTAAACGCGATATCTTTGACATTCCGTTGGCCATAGTGGGAAACGTGAGTGCCATTCATTACTTATTTCTCGCTCGTTGAAGTAATTACGAAAATCCGTTTTATATAAATCTGATTTCTCTAGTTTTTACCCATCCTGAGTTGACATGGGAAGGTTATGGCAAAAGTTTAAGATTTACTCATATTTTAGTTTAATTCTTCATATTTAGAAAAGAAATGCAACATGCTTTAACGATTATATTATCGATTAGTGAGAGGATTGGAATTGTCACATTTAACCGCATAAATAAGTAGGACATTATTCGATAGTTATAGAGGATTATATAGGGATATGTAGTCTTATGTGAATTAATATGTAAATATATTTATTATAATAAGTATAGATCATTGAAATAAAATCATTTTAATCATTTGTTCGAAATATAGTCATGAAATTGATTCCTTTGAGTTACATTTGCTACTGTCATGAGGGAATTAACATGTAAGGATTAAAGAAATGAAAAAAATATTTTTATAAAGTTTATTGTTTCAACTAATAATTAATCATGAAATATATGTATATATTTTTTTACCCTGTTAGGTTGTGTTTTTGTAAGCTGTACGTACACTATATTCTATATATTGCTAAACTTTAAGTACAACTTTTTGTTCGATCAGTAGTTTAGATGAATACTTTTCTAACTATTAGTATCATTGCTTAAAGATTATTATTGCAAATCATACCCGAATTTTAATTAATATCAAAACCCAATCACTTAGTTTCTTACGTGATTCCACTTATTAAGATCTTTATGAGTTTCTTATTCTTAAATTTTTTCATAAATTTTTTCTTAAATTTTTTTTTATAATTTTAATCTCTTTGTGTAAAATAATTTTAATAGTCTTAGATTTTATTATTTTTAAAAATTTTATAAGCTTATTTTTATTTTATTATATTATTATATTATTATTTTATTTTATCTTTTTTTTTACTCTCTATTAATTTAATTATTTATATTTTATAAACTATACAGTATATATTTTCTATATATTATTAAAACCAATTCTTCAATTAATTTACTTATTTTAATATAAACTTTAAATATATCTTTAAAAATAATTTGTTACTTTTCTAGTAGTTCAAATAAATATTCTTTTAACTATGAATATTATTGCTTACAAATTATTATTGTAAATTATAAATAGAATTCTAATTAAAATAAAATCCAATATCTTTATTAAGACCTGTGGATCAATAGTGCAGTAGGTACACTTCCAGGTCACTATCCATGAATTATTAGTTCAATTCCACTTAAGAATGGTTTTCACAAATATAGGTCATATTATATAAGATGTATACTCAGAACCACATGTATTAATGTACATAATAACCTATCAGATTTCACCATCTAACCATGATATCATAAATCAGATCATACAGGTCCTAGTCAGTTTTAGCACTAGGAAATGAGTCATGACATCCCATTACTTGGAATATGTACAGATACCAAAAATGCCAAAAAAAACAATAATAAACCCAGAAACCTATTAGCCTCATATGGAATTTACTTCTTTTCAAAAACTTTAGTTTCATAGGAAATCTAAAAAACTTCAATTGTATACACCAGTCACAAAAAGTAAGGATCAGACACATACTAAGAAATCTTTGATCATTATCACCAATAGTTATCAAAGATTGGATCTCATAAATTGTCAACAAGAAGTGACAAAATTGAATAGTTATGATAGAATATCTATAAGGGCTAATATGTTTGAGAAAGATCAATGGCCTTATATAATAATCAAGGAAAGTCTCTATAAGGTCATATTTAAAAAGTGGTTAAAAATAGTTACTAAAAGACTATGGTCATTAATCTGACTCACCAATGGCCACCAGGAGACTTGATGGGACCACATAAAAACTAAAGAATATTAATAGACAACTAACTTTTGAGAACTAAGTATAATAAAAGGATATCAATTAAAAATAGAATATATAGTATCTCATAAGGTATAACAAATCCCACAAAGTAAACAATTTCAAAAATAGCTTCTTGAATATAAAAAAAAAGTCACCTAGTGGATTCTCAGAATGTTGAGTGGCCTAGGTATAGCAGGGCAACAGACAAAATGGTATATATAATGAGTAAAATCAGGTAAAATTGAATAAAGTAGGATAGTATAATCTAGAAAATATATAAATTGCTCTTATAAATTCATTTTGTACTGTGATAAAAATAGCCTCTAATACTATTGGATAGTTATTTTTAGTTATGTTCTTCATTCTATTTTTATTTTTATCCATTTATTTATAATTATTTCTTTGATATTCTTATTGGTACTTAATTAGTGTAGATTACTTTATCAAATGTAACACATGACATAATTTATCATAGATCAGATAGTTCAGGAGACCTAGAAGGTCAGGAGGCTCAAGTAACTCATTTTTACAAGTATATAAGCAGTTATAATTCACTTAAAAATAGAATAAGTTGGTAGATAACTTCACTTTGATTTCTTGAAGATTGAATATCTTCTTTTGATTTTAGAACCAAAGAAATTGTCTTAGTTTTTTTAATTTGTTAATAAATTTGAATTCTGAGTGAACCATATTTCTTGTGAAACACTGTATAATATTGTTTGAAGAATTTTTGAGAAATCTATTTTTGAATATTTTTTTATTGTTATAAACTGCTTCTTTAATTCTTTTTTTGGAAATTATTCTTTTAAAAGCAATTTCACTTGAACACACTAGTCAAATATATATTTGATCACATTATATAAATTAAAATTTTTTATAAATAAAAACTCTTTTGTTGATCCATTAACAGCACACAATAAAAAATGGTTACAAAAAATTTTATACTTTTATATTAATAAAGTCTTATAACTTTTTTTAAAATAACTTGAAAAATAACTTCAAGAGTTTCTCTCAACTTCTTTTTCTTGTTTATATTCCTTTTCAAAAAAAAAACTTGACTTTCAGTAATCAAGAAAAGCCTAGAAACACTTTTTTTACCTATGGTAAGAAAATTTAAAAAGAAAAAAAAACCAATAATGAAGTATTAAAAACCTATTTACTAAAGTAAAAATGCAACTAGAGATTCTGTGCAGTAGATATATAGATAAATAAAAGTCTAAACTTTAAAAACTTTTTTATTCATTGTTATTATTTTTTTAAAGATATTCATTTTTTAAAGTTTTTAAGGACCTCAATTTAACTTTAAATTTTAAAGTAATATAAAATTGATATAGCTTTTATTAAAGATAATTGATTGATATAAAACATATTGATATCAAAACATAAACAAGCTCTTATTGATTATATTACATGTTCTAATAATATTATTGATAAAAAAAAATTATTAATATAAACTTCTTTATTTCTCCAAATAAAATGTAATTGCAGTGAAAAAATTATGAAATCATTAAAATAAGTACTAAATTCTTTAGATAATAAAAAAATGATTATTTATTTAAGCTGAGGTCTTTAACTTCTTATCATTCTGATTAGACAAATTATATAAATGAGATTATTTCCTTATCTTAGTCAAACTATAAGATTAAAAAACAAAGGAATATAAGATATTGTTCTTTTTTAGAATTGAAAATGCATTTTTTAAACATTATATAATAATATTATAATCAATAAGGATTCCTATTACTGACTCTATCTTTGCACTATTATAAGGCAAAAAGATTATTAAAAAATCCAACTTTTTGAATAATGAAAAATGATTATTAATAAAATTTCTTTAAGTAGATATGGTAGCTAAAAGATATTGGAAGTTATACAACATGATTGAAAAACTACATAAGAATCTGAAATTCACAATTAGATATTTTGTTTTTCTATATAAATGGATATAAAACTAAGATAAAAAAAAATAAAGTATTAAACAGAATATTAGATTTTAATAGGCAATAAGTATCTCAAATGGTCACAAAAATAATCAAGATTATAGATAATTGAGTTTCTTAATAATCAAAAAGAACAAGAATATTTCAGAAAGGTTGACTTCTAATGAAAAAAGATTTTTAGGAAAGATCTTTTGAAGGACATAAAGTACTTTTATTTTTTATTTTTTTTTTTGAGTACCCATAGTCAGGCTAGAGTATTGGTTTGAAAACATAAGTACTTTCATTCAAGTAGCCTGATATATACTACAGCTAAATTATTATTCTAATCTAACTAATTTATAGTAAGCATAAAAGTCTCTAAGTTTGATCTTGAAAACAATATTTTACTTCACAGTGTCTTTGGATGAAAACCCTCCTAGTCCACTACATTATTGTTAATAGGTTATCACTACTGTATATCTAATCAAGCCACAAAAATATAGAAAACTATAAAAGG